TATATATACATTTATAAGCTTCTCTGATTTTGCTTCTCCAGAGAACCTAGCCTATGACAGAGGGAGAAGTGACCTTTTCTCAAGAAAAATAAATGGATGTTACATAGAAAATAACAACCACAGCCAACCAGTTGCTGTCCAGTAAATTCCAACCCATGGCTGGCCCTATGTGTGCCAGAGCAGAATCGTGCTCCATAGGACTCTCTGTGGTTTTTTGTTTGTTTGTTTGTTTGGGGGGGTGGTGTTATTTTTAATAAATTGCCAGGCCTTTCTTCTGAGGCTTCTCTATAGACTACAACTGCCACACCTTGATGTGGAGAGAAATGAGAAAGCGAGTGGACTCTGTTACCAGAAGAAGAGGCTACAGAGTCATCGTTTTCAGACCTATCATTACTCACTCGCTGCGCGACACAGGACGAGTCACTAAACCTATTTGGTGGATCCAGGGAATAAATGATGGTAAATGGGCCTGTACTGACCCGCTGAGATGGGGCCACATAAGCCACATTTTAACAACCCGCACTGTTTGCTGTTGTTGGTTCACTGGTGGAGGTGGTGTCAGCTGTGGGTCTGACTCGGGAGTCTGACTCAAGGACCTTCCATGTGGCACTAACTGCTCCCAGATTTTTCCAGACAGGTTAACTGCAGATCATTGGGCCTGCTTGCAGAGGCACCTCCTGGAATAGTTCAAGCCACTCGATTCAGGAAGTAGTCAGGCAAGGACTTCTGTATTGTTTTTTGCTGATGGGGGCTACTGCTTTGATTACAACCCCGAGCAACTCTGTGGACCAGTGTAGGACTTTCCCAAGCATGTTCTTGGCTGCGTACTTGTTCTGTTTTATTTTAACTTTTTATTTCAAATTGGGTGAAGGCTTACAGAGCAGATCCACTCAATAATTCAGGCACAGTTTGTTCTGCCATTGGCGGCCACCCCAACAGTGGAGGATCACACATCCCATGTCCTCCCTGTGTTTAGGGAACTCCTCATCCAGCTCAGATTCTTGGGACCAGATAGCCAGCACTTTCTCCCCTGGAGCCTCGGGGTAGGTTTGAATTCAAACCCCAAACCAAACTCATTGCCTTGAGTCAATGCTGACTCATAGGAACTCTGTGGGACAGGGTAGGACTGCCCCTGTGTGTTTCTGAGACTGTCACCCTTCACAGGAGTAGAAAACCCCACCATTCTCCCTCAAAGTGGCTAATGGTTTTGAACTGCTGACTTTGCAGTCAGCAGCCCTACACCCAACCCACTAAGCACAGAGCTAAAAACTAAAAATCATAAATTCAGTGCCATCAATTTGATTGAAATTCATAGGGCCCCTAGAGGATGGGGTAGAACTACGCCTTGTGGGCTTCCGAGACTTTAACTCTTTATGGAAGTAGAAAGCCTCATCTTTCTCCCTCAGGGCTGATGGTGATGGTTTTGAACTGCTGACCTTATGGATCACAGCCCAAAGCATAACCACTAAGCCACCAGGGGTTTAAACTAAGTAGACTAAATATACCAACTTCTAGTGCTAGGGCTCAAGCATAGGAACAATATGAGGACGGTGCAGGACCAGGTGGTGCTTCATGTTGTTGTTCATAGGGTTGCTATGAGTCAGAGTCAACTCAATGGCCCCTAAAAATGCTAGGACACCGAATTGTGGCTTCTTTCACTCTCTGCATGACCTTGAGTCCCTTAAGCCCCACGTCTCACTTTTCCTTCTGTAAAATGGGCTCATGACTCAAGCCAAAAGTTACAAGGGATATTAAGAGTGAATGAGACATCTTATCCCGCTGAGCTAGCCCTCCCTCGCTCAACCTGCCAGCTAGTCCAGCTGCCCCCCCTGAAACTGAAACTCGAACCCTGGCTGGTATGCAAGGAACAGCTGAAAAGTCACTCCGTCTTTGGTGGAGAAAATTCTCTGAGAAGCCTCAACTTTGACATTCCTGCTCCCAGAATGTGAGAACTGGCCGGGTGATGGGATCCACACTCGGCTGGTTCTTGGCTCTTTCGTGGCTCAGAGCAATAGGAGTATATCTCCAGGGTGACTCTTTTTTCTTTTGTGAGCTCAATGGGGTTTGTGTGTTTCTAAATGGCAACAATGGATGGTTTGGCTTCAAAGCTAGGCCAGGGAAATTGTGTTGGGGTTCCTCCAGCCTCCACAGGTCTAGTAAGTCTGGATTCCTTCAGGAATGTGAAATCTTGAACCATGCAAGTTTTCTCCATTCCTACAGGATCTGCCTGTCGTGCCCTGGATCCAACCGTCTGGTAAGGATAGCCAGGCACCACTTAGTTCTTCTGGTCTCCTGTTAGAGCAGCGGTTCTCAACCTGTGGGTTGCAACCCCTTTGGGGGTCGAATAACCCTTTCACAGGGGTCGCCTGATTCATAACAGTAGCAAAATTACAGTTATGAAGTAGCAATGAAAATAATTTTCTGGTCAGTCACTGGGGGAGGGGTGGGGAGGGAGGGAGTGTGAATATCTTAAAAAAAATAAAAAAGAAAGAAAATAATTTTCTAGTTGGGGGGGTCACCACAACATGAGGAACTGTATGAAAGGGTCATGGCATTAGGAAGGTTGAGAACCGCTGTTAGAGGAAAGCAATGGTTCATGGAGGCAAAAATCATATTTCTTATGAATCATTCAGCATCATGGGGAATGGGATCCAAAAAGGGATGGGGCTGGGTAAACCATGCCCTGGGGGAGTGGTGACTCAGAGTGAGCCGATGGTGTCACTGGGTCCCTCAGGCTGGATGGCGTGAGTGCCGCAGAGGGAGATCGACATGGCCCTCATGGGTGGGTGATGCCCTCGTCCACTAGATAGTCTGCTGACCTTGCTTGAGTCAACAAGTTCATTGTGCTTCATCCCAAACTTGACTGCAGGTTCCCCTTTGCTTCTGCGGCTTGGCGGAAGGGATGGCAAAGGTTTAGAGGGTGGGCGGTGGGATTCAGAAAATCAGGCTGGCATTGCTAATCAAGCGGGCCATGCTGACGCCCAGTCTGGAAGACAGGCAGCTGTTCTGACCCCATGGTGCCACTGCTGTGCTGTGTGTCCTCAAATTGTTCCCCTCTCTGTGTCCAGCTGTGAGTAGATGAGGGGGTGTTGGCAATACTCTGGGAGCCTAGCCCACCATCCACTTGTCTCTTACTCACCTCTTCCATTTCTTAAATAGTCTCATTCTGCATAAATTCTAAAAATCCCCCACCCCCCACCTGTCCCTTTGTGGTCCTGTGTCAGTTTGTGGGTTGCTGGAAGCTAGGCCTCTAAGGATTTCAAGTACCAGCACACTCACCCATGGTGGACAGGGTACAGTGAAGCATCTTGGCCTTGAGAGACAGGCAAGAAAGGACTGGTGATCACCTTTGGAAAATTAAGTCAACCTGAACCTGTGGGTCACAGTCGAATGTTTTGTCAGTAACTCACTGCCATCCAATAGATTTTGAGTCAGAGAGACCTTATTGGCCAGGGTAGAGCTTCCCACCTGTGGGTTTCTGAGAGTAGAACTCTTGAAGGAAGCAGAATGCCTCCTCTTTCTCCCGAGAAGCAGTTGGTGGGTTCCAACCGCTGACCTTGTGGTTAGCAGTTCCACGGGAAGATGAGCCCTCAGGGTTGGAAGGCACTGAGAGTGTAGAGTGGTTTGGAGCCCGGCCTTGGTGAAGATGGTGCGGCAGGGGTTTCATGCCCCTGTATGTGCGATTGCCACACGTCAGATGTGACTGGACACCATGAGCAAAATGGAAGAGCAGGGGTTTGTGATGCAGCCCAGCAACTAGCACCTGCCTAGTGGGGGCCACCCAGGGGTTGTTCTCGTCTACCCAGTGCCTGGGAAAAGGGCCGCTCCGCCCTGGCGCTGTGGAACCGCAGCCAGTATCCCCCTTCTCCTGGGGAAGACAAGCTCACTTGGGAAAGGGACCCATCTCAGTAGCGGTGCCACTGGAGGTGAGCCTGTCTACGGAGAGACCAGCAGGGCCCCATCACCACCTTTCCTCCCTCCTCCCTCCTCCCTTAGCCACTCTGTTCTAGAACCCATCATTAGGCTGCTTGCCCCTTCCCTGTCTGCTCTCTGGCACCGGCCTGACAGTACTGCCCAGGGGCAGGGGCATGGAACTGGGGTCAGAGGTGAGGAGTGTAATCTCATTTTGCCCTAGTAGACCACGCCAGCTTCCACAAGCGGGTCAGTGCTCGCTGGCCACGGGGAAGGGCACACTTATCCCTGCCCTTTTAGCATGGCCCCTGAGGAAGGTAAGGGAGAGAGTGGCCCGGGCCCCAGCACAGGGGAGGCCATGTCATCGGGAAGGATGGGGGCTGTCCTGCAACGGGCCTGAGGCCTGTGTGAGAGCCCAGAGTTCCCCCTCCCCTCCCCCGCCCCACCCCCACTGCTCCCCCTACAGAGACCTGGGATCTCCTTCATTCAAAGAGACACTGGTATCTGGTGGCAGCAGGGCACATGCCTCCTCTCAAAATCACAATCCTCAGCCATGAATCACCACTCTTTCCAACACACACACACACACACACACACACACACACACACACACACACACCACCAGCACCACCACCACCACCACCACCCAGCACATGCACACGGGCATGCTGTGTTTAGAAGGAACAAAGGCGTTCAAATGCAAATACCTCCACTGACCTCCACAGGTGGGAAATGTTAAGTGTGGCTCCCTGAAGATCCACTGAAAACTACATACGCAGACACCACTGATCCAATGTTAACGGGGAAATTCTAACCCAGAAAGTCGACTGGCTAGTTCCTGAAGAAACTCTTTTTTTCTGTAAAAAGACAACCGGCTGGCCCAGGGTGACCCCTGAAAGGGTGGCTCCTGGCATTTGGTCCTGAAATCGGTCAACTAAACAATTCTTGTGTTTTCAAAGCAGAAAGGCACGCAAGAAAAGGTTTGCTCCCTTCTGGAAAGGCCTAAAGCCGATCTCCAACCCAGAGGCCCGCTGCCCCCGGAGCCCCCGAAGTACAACTGGCTAATGGCAAGCCCTAGCTCACAGTACCTTCTCCACGCGAGGTCACGGTCACAGGAGCTGCCGCCACCCAGGAGGGCTCCCCAGTGAGCCTCTGCACTGCCCCACCAAACCGAGACAGCAGGGGCCCCAGGAGCGCAGTGGGAGCAGCTACCCCCACCGCAGGCTCACACTTGTCCCTGCCCAGGCCCCTCCCCTTGCCCAGAGCCAGTGTGATCCCAGCAGCTGAGTTGACAAGTCATTTCTATAATTAGCGGGTGAGCCCTGGCTCTGGCCAGGAGTAGGCAGCCCAGGGTGGCCGTGGACCAGGGAGCTCTGAGTATGGACATATATGGTGGCATGAAGCAAGGGAGGGGACGGTTCTGGATGCAAGCACATTCTCACCCGTCAGCCCCTGTCCCCTGGCAGGTCGCATTCTGACAGGCCCAGGACTTGGAGTGGGGGGTGGGGGGGTTTGAGGAGGAAGTGTGGGGGAAAGCTGGTGGGTCCTCTGAAGAATTGCTGGCCCTGTGGGGAGGGCCCCGCCTGGATAGAGGTGTTCGGGTGGGGGTGGGGGTCAGGGGTGTGGCCTCCGGTCAAAATAATGACAGATAGTACAACTGACCCAGAGGGGTTCCGAGGCTGTGAATCTTTAAGGAAAAGTGGCCTGGTGGTCCACCTTGCTAAGCGTTTGGCTGCTACTTAAAGGTCAGTGGTTCTAACCCACCAGCTGTGCTTCGTGAGAGTGGTGAGGCTGTCTGTTCCTATAAAGCTTGGCAGCCTAGGAAGCCCTAGGGGACAGCTCTCCTCTGTCTAAGGGGGTCGCTGTGAGTTGGAAGGGGCTCAAAGGCAGTGGGTTTGTATTTTTAGGCTGGGGCCCTGGTTGCTTAGTGATCACCTTGGGCTGCTCTCTGCAAGGTCAGCAGTTCCTTGGGAGAAACGATCAGCCATTCCTTGGGAGAACAAGGAGGCTTTCTCCTTCCATAAAGAGTTACAGTCTCGGAAACCCACAGGAACAGTTCTACCCCATCCTACAGGGTCCCTATGAGTCAGCATCAACTTGATAGCTGTGAACTTTTGTTGTTTTTGAGTAGATAGATAGATCGATAAATAGCTACTTTAAGTAGATAGATAGATCGATAGATAGATACATGGACTATCATTGGAAGATAATAATGATCACAAAGAATGACATTTTAGTAGCAACAGGAAATACTGTCCTCGGAACCATCAGTCACAGGAGAAGGAAAGATCCCACTTGGCCCAGGGACAATGCACAAAAGGCCACAGGGGGAATGGAAACTGGAAGCCCCCGGAGGAAGTGGGAGGGGGCTGTGGCATTGTGTGTGTGTGTGTGTCGGGGGGGGGGGGGGTGGGGGGGTGGTACTGGTGTCAAGTTGCCAAAGGCGTGGGAGTTGGTGGATGCCAAACCAATTTTCTCTGTCCACTTTCACCCAAATTACCATCAAATGTTTTCTAAAAGAATGTATAATCACTACCCAACTAAAATCAATCTTGATGATTTTTCCATTCCCTTGGTGTCTTTAACACAGATAACACAAATTGGAGCCACATCATCGACTGGTCCCACCACCAGAAAATAAAAACCACACACACGCAGTGCTAATGCCTGCTCACACCAAAACAGCCACTGCCATCACTTTGATGCTGGTTCATAGTGACCCTACAGGACAGAATAGAATGGCCCCTGTGGGCTTCCGAGACTGCCAACTTTTATGAGAACAGAAAGCCTCATCTTTCTCCCTTGGAGGGACTATTGGATTCAAACTGCTGACTTTGTGGTTAAAAGCCCAATGTGTAACCACTATGCCACTAAGGCTCCATCGTGGACCTTAAAAACATTGCTAGTTGCCAAGAGTCACCCTGACTTACAGTCGTCCTATGGACAATACAAAGACACACGTCCAGGGCCCTGTCATCTCCCACGGTGGGTTCTGGATTGGCCTCTGATCCACAGGCAGGTTTTTAGGATAGATTGCCAGGTCTTTCTTCCTAGCTCATCTGGAAGCTCCACTGAAACCTGTTCAGGACCCACAGCAACACACAGACCTCTGCTGAGAGAGTGGTCACAACTGTACCTCAGGGGCATGGGCCTGGCCTTGAACTTGGGCCTCTCTCATGGGAGAAACTGTGTGTGTGGAGGGGCTGAACAACAGACAATGGAGATGTTTGCACAGCAGGGTTGATGGATTAGTGCCACTACTTATAAACACTACAAACTGGTTAAATGGCAAATTTCATGCTGTTTATATTTGACGACAATTTAAAGAGAGAGAGATGGAAGTACGTGGTCCAAGGATCCCTGGTAGCTCTGGGGGTTAAATGTTGGGTTGCTAACCAAAAGGTAAGGGAATCAAAGCCACCAGCTGCTGCTCAGGAGAAAGACGAGACTGCTTGCTCCACTAACAATTTGTAGTCGCAGCAACTCTGAGTTTGATCGGCTCCTTAGAAGCAAGGATGGCAAGACTTCATCTCACACACTTTGGACATGTTGTCGGGAGAGACCAGTCCCTGCAGAAGGACATCATGCTTGGTAAAGTGGACCCAAATCTGCACTCACTGCCAAGGAGTGGATGTGGACTCACAGCCCCCAGTAGGACAGGGTAGAATTACCTCTGTGGGTTTCCGAGGCTGTAACTCTGTATGGGAGTAGAAAACCCTGTCTTTCTCCCTGGGGGTAGGTGGTTTCGAACTGCTCACCTTGAAATTAGAAGCCCAACTCATAACCATGATGGCACAGGGGCTCCTGGGTGAAATAGAGGGCCGCGGATGAGAGGAAGGCCCTGGACAAGATGCACTGACACCGTGGCTGCGGCAATGAGCTCCTGCATAATGGCAATGGCTGTGAGGATGGCTCAGCATCAGCCAGTGTTTCTTTCGGTCGCACTTGGGGTCACTAGGGGTCAGGGTTGACACGATGCACCTGCTAACAAGAGTCCAAATTGACTCCATGGCAGTGCGTTAGGGGCTTCGTCAGCCATGCAGGTCGCCCAGTACATGAAGGTGGAGCCAGGATTGCAATGTCAAGTCCAAAGGTGACCTACTGCCTCCCGAAAGAAGCAAGACAGGAAAGATCACCCTTTGCTCTTCTTCCCCCCTGGCTACCAGTGTTATTCCCCGCTGGGGTTTGGGGATTCTCATGCAATTGGCAGCTCTGAGAAAGACTAATTGGAGCCTGCTTTGGCAATGGCTGTCTACCAAATACACTGGAGATGGAGGCGTGTCCCCAGGGTCCTCATCGGAAGGTGGCTGTGGACATCTTTCTCAGCTCTTCTGGAAGACACAGAAAACGACAGGTCCCCAGGAGTGCTTTTCTCCATCTGAAAGGGGCAACATGAATCCGCACGGAACCAGATCCTGAAATGGGAGTAACCGGTCTTTCTGTCCCTGCAGGACAGAGTAGAGCTGCTCCCTCAGGTCTCTGAGACTAACTCTTTACAGGAACGGACTGCCTCATTTTCCCCTCTCAGAACAGCTGATGGCTTCAAACTGCTGACCTGTTGGTCAGCACAAAGCTTGACCCACTGCCCCACACCCAACTCACCAGGGCTGTCAGTGGTCAGAGGGGTTAAAAAAAGGAAGACCCTCCATGCGATGGATTGACACAGTGGCTGCCACAATTGGCTTACAAGGAACAGCCCTGGTGAGGACGGTGCAGGATGGGGCGGTATCTCATTCTGCTGTGCATGGGGTCGCTATGAGTTGGAACTGACTCAAGGACACCTAACAACCGTTTTAAAGGGGGAACTTGACCTTGGGAGCAATTCTCTGGGTCCAGGTTGGGGCTCTCCAGGTGGAAACTTGACCAAATGATTTCTTGTTGTTGTTGAAAAGATAGCCCCAACCACTAATGTCTGAGAGTCAGGGATTCCTCTGAGAACTCTCATGAATCTAAAGGGTGTGAATGAAGAAGCAACGGCTCTTAACTGACCCAGGAAAGAAGGGTGGACTTTTCCCACCCCTAAAATGGAACCACCCAAATCACACTGAATAGCACAAGAAACCCAAGATCCCACTAGCATCCAGTAAAAGAACAGGAGCCCAGGTGACAGTGGTTAACCACTGGGCTGCTCACTGCAAGGTCAGCAATTCAAAACCACCAGCTGCTCCTCGGGAGAAAGACAGGGCTTCCTACTCCCATAAAGAGTTACAGTGATGAGAAATACAACTTTCCTCTAGTTCCTAAAGGTTTCCTCCCCGCTCCCACTACCATGACTCGAATTCTATCTTGCAAGACTGGCTAGACCAGAGGAGGTACACTGGTACAGATAGGAACTGAAAATACAGGGAATCCAGGACGGATGAGCCCTATAGGATCAGTGGTGTGAGTGGCAAAACAGGGAGGGTAAAGGGAGAATGGGTAGGAAAGAGGGAACCGATTACATGGAACGGTGTGTGACCTCCTCCCTGGGGGACAGACAACCAAAAAGTGGATGAAGGGAGACGTTGGACAGGGCAAGATATGACAAAATACCCATTTATAAACTATCAAGGGCTCATGCGGGAGGGGGGAGCGGGGAGGGAGGGGAAAAATGAGGACTTAATGTCGGGGGTTTAAATGGAGAGAAAATGTTTTGAGAAACGTACAAATGCGCTTTACACAATTGATGTGTGTATGGATTGTGATAACAGTTGTATGAGCCCCTAATAAAATGTTAAAAAAGAAAAAAAAAAAGAGTTACAGTCTCGGAAACTCACAAGGGCAGTTCTACCCTGCCCTATAGGGAGGGTCACTATGAGTCAGCATCAACTCGATGGCGATGAGTCGAGTTAATGAGCCCTGGCGGTGCTGTGAGATCAGCATTGTACTGTGAGCGGAAAGGACAGCAGTTCAAAACCACCAGCCACTGCAAGGGAGAAAGAGGAGGTTTTCTACTCCCATAGAGTCACAGTCTCAGAAACCCACAGGCACGGTTCTACCCTGTCCTATAGGGATGCTGAGTCAACATCCATTTGATGGCAGTGCGTTTGATTTGGTTTTTAATAGTAAAAACAGAACCCAAACTCCAAACCCATAGCCAACAAGTCAATTCCAACTCAGCGTGACCTTATGGGACAAAGTAGAAGGTCTCCCTGGGGTTTCTGAGGCGGGCCATCTTTAAGGAACCAGAGGGCCTC